GGGTGACCCATTTGCTTTTGGGTTTCCCGCCCTGCCTCCTCCCGTTTGCCAAGCCTACAGCCAGCGTTACACACCACACAAACTTTCCCGCCCCCCCCCGTCCTTCTCTTGCCCTCTGGGGTTCGAGGGCTTTGGGGAAGAGCCACGAATTTGGAAGCGGGAAGCAAATTCTCTGGGCTTGGAGAAACTCCGGCTTTGCGTCAGCTCCTGTTCTCTGGACTGGGTTGGAAAAGCATTTGGGACTTCTGACTAAAGGAGGTCAGAAGTCAGCCTGTAGATGGGTTCTGGCATTTCCTGAGTGGGTAGGACCCATGAGGCACACATGTCTCACCTGTGGCAATTTGGAGAGATGTGTGGACTTCAACTCCCTGAATTGCCTAGCTAGCTGAAGCTTGGCAGGGTTAAGGTGTATGGACTTCACTTCCCAGAATTCCCCAGCCAGCTCAGCCTTGGCAACATAAAGATGTGTGTGGACTTCGACTCCCATAGAGCTCGTCAATTTTGGCAACGTTATGGACTTCAACTCCCACAATTCCCCAGCCAACTCAACCTTGGGCAATTTGAAAAGGTTGGGACTTCAGCTCCCAGAATTCATGGCTGGTTGGGGAATTCTGGGAGTTGAAAGGCACACATTTTCACCTTTTAGTGAAAAACTAAAGAGCCTGGATAGCTCTGCAGACAAAGGCACTGTAATTTAACACCAGCTTCTGCAATTAAGTAAGTTCGAATCTCACCAGGCTCAAGGTTGACTCAGCCTTCCATCCTTTCTAAGGTAGGTAAATGAGGACCCGGTTTGTGGGGGCAATAAGCTGACTTTGTATAAAATATACAAAAGGATGAAGGCTATTGCTTAACGCATTGTAAGCCGCCCTGAGTCTCCGGAGAAGGGCGGCATATAAATCAAATTAAAAAAAAAAAAAACAGGCAAGAAACTTCTTCGTGTTTGAGCCCCAGACCAATGGTCTTATCTGCAACCTGCAGGCAAAAAGGAAAACAACAATTTGATGATACACAGGGCATATATATTATTATTACCTGGCAGCCACTGTTTATTATTACCAAACAATACATATCATGTATTGTGTTTTGTATTCTGTTTGTCTTATTATGACTGTTCCCTATTATTTACTATTGCATTTCTAAATGTCTATGGAGATTCTCCATCACCCAGGTCCTAGTTATCCCAAAGGTGCTTTTTCAAGAGGCAACTGGACTTTCTGGTTTTTCTTTGAAGACGTTTCACTTCTCATCCAAGAAGCTTCTTCAGCTCTGACTGGATGGGGGGGAATGGAAGGATTTGTACTCCTTGCAGACAGCTGGTCATTTGCATCCTTTTAGAGGGTCATTGAGGCCACCTAGAGGTTTCTCTGTGTCCTCAGGGTCACCTGAGAGGTGCAAATGATTCCTGTGGTCTGCAATTTTTTTTCTCTGGAAATCCCTTCCTACTCTTACACCATTCCAAGGATGTTTGTCCCAAATTGCGTAGCTAAAAGTCTGTAGAGATTCTCAGTCATCCAGTCACAGTTGTCCCAAAGGTGCCTTTTCCAGGAGGCAGCTGGACTTTTTGGTTTTTCCTTTTGAAGACGTTTCGCTTCTCATCCAAGAAGCTTCTTTATTTCTGATGGAATGGAGCTGACAGAACTGTGGTCAGAACTGAAGAAGCTTCTTGGATGAGAAGCGAAACGTCTTCAAAGAAAAACCAGACGGTCCAGTTGCTCTTGGGGGGGGGGGGAAAACACCTTTGGGACATATTGCGTTTGTCGTTTGCAGAGAAAGTATTGAAAAGCGCAATCAATATAATTGTTATTTTTATTATTTTTATGGAGAGAGAGGACCACCTAGACAAGAATCACCTCTGAGTCCCATGATGGACAGAAGACCAGATTCAGTACCAGAATCAGTTCTTCTGGTGCGCGGCTCTTGCCACGCTTTCAAAGAATAGCTTACTACTCCTAGATATGACTTGCACGTGGTTGCAAACTCAGACCTCAGTGAGCGTGCACCTGGGCTCAGAGGATGCCATTCAAATCTTGCTAAATTTTTGTGTCAACTCCTGGAAACGTTTGCAAAGTTTGGGCAATCCTGCAGGACACCTGAAGAAATATTGGTGGTCTTAGTCTTAGATCAAATATCCATGAAGGTCCCAAGCTCTTGGTGGGCGCATGGAGAGCTTGCCAACTCTTCCGTGATCCTTTAGATCAGTGTTTCTCAACCTTGGTAGCTTGAAGATGGGTGGACTTCAACTCCCAGAATCCCCCAGCCAGCAGCGCTGGCTGGGGGATTCTGGGAGTTGAAGTCCACCCATCTTCAAGCTTCCAAGGTTGAGAAACACTGCTTTAGACAAACAGAAGCAATCTTCTGCAAGGAATCATTGGCCCACTCCTGTTGTCTGGAAGTAGAGGTAGTCCTCGATTTACGAACATTCATTTCGGGATGATTCAAGGTTAGATCAGCGCTGAAAAAAGTGACTTGTTGTGACCATTTTTCACACTTATGACCGTGGCGGCATTCCCACACTCACAGGATCTAAAGTTGGACACTCAGCATCTGGCACATATTTGTGATGGTTGCAGTGTCTCAGGGTCATGTGATTAATTAGGGAAGGTCATCGACTAGGAAGGAGGGGCATCTGCGCTGGGTTTATCTGCAATATAACCCCACTCCCTTCTAGCACGGATGATGTTCCCTAGTTGGGTCATGAAACATCTGCAAGAAAACCAGCAAGCTCAGAGACCACCAAGGAGCCCTCCTCCTCCTCCTCCTCCTCCTCCTCCTCCTCCTCCTCCCCTCCTCCTCCTCCTCCTCCTCCTCTCCACAAACCCCATTCCCTTCTAGCACTGATAATACCGTATTCCCCACTTGGGTCATGAAACATCTGCAAGAAAACCACCAAGCTTAGAGACCAAGGATTTAGAACTGTGGCACTGGAAATGACTCCAAGGATCATCTAGGATCATTTTTTTTCCCCTTTTGACTTTTTTAAATTGTAAATTGTAAATTTGTCTTAAATATTGGGGGTGTTTTAATTTGTCTCGGGCCAAATTATCTAATGTGGTTTTATACTGTCTTTTAAATTTTGTCATTTAGGTGTTTTATGTTTGGCTGTTCACCGCCCTGAGTCCTTCGGGAGTAGGGCGGTATTATAAATTTGATAAAATAAATAAATAAATAGTCCAGTGATGGTTAACCTTTTTGCCATCACGTGCCAAAAGCTGGGGGAGCGCAGGGGGGTTGCGCATGTGCGTGCCCACACCCATCATTCTATGCGCCCCATCCCCCACGCATGTGCGCGCAACCCCCCTGGCTCTCCCCACTTTTGGCGAATGCGTGCCTACGATGGCACGGTGGGCCCGGTAGGCCCGTTTTTTGCTCTCCCCAGGCTCCAGAGCCTTTCTAGGAGCCTGTGGAGGGCAAAAATGGCCTTCCCCACCCCTCTGGAGGCCCATTTCCCTACTTCCAGTGGGCAGAGAAGGCCTGAAAATCAGCTGGCCAATGGGCGCATGCACGGCGGAGCTGAGCTCACGTGCCCACCAATATGGCTCCGCGTTCCACCTGTGGCACGTGTACCATAGGTTTGCCATCATGGATCTAGTCGAACTCTCTGCCGGGTGCCAGAAAAGCAACTGAACCATCGCGTGAGGTCGCTTTTCCAGCTTCTTCAAAGCCTCCAGAGATGATGGAGAGCCTTCAGTCTTTGTAGGTCAGCCTTCCCACTAGTGGACAAATCTGAACCTCAAGATGTTTTTTCTCTCCACGTCATGCCATCCACGGAAGGCCAAAGACGCACACAAGAACTGGTGGAAACCACCCCGGTGTGCAAGGCATCATGCCTACCCATCAAGTCATGTGTGTTGGAACAGGGCCACCACGTGCTCCTTTGCGGGCACCTATGGAGAAGACCCCACCCTCCCCTGGGGAACCTGGCTGAAATCCCCTGCTCCTCCGAGAGAGATTGTTTCACAGCAGGTCTTTTCCCAACGAGTTTTGCAAGACGGGGGAAGAGAGAAAACAAACGCAAGAGAATCTGGCTGCCTCCCATTAAGCCACGTAGATCTTAATTACAGGATGTTCCTTTGGGGATGAGTGTCTGGGAAGGAATGTGGTGGAGGTTGGCTTCATTTGGAAACCGGTTGGGCCAGTCTGGTGGCATTTTCCCTCATCTCCTCATCTCCTTCGGGAAGGTTGGTTTTGGGGAGACTGTCTCAAGGAGTGCGTTGCAACACAATTGCCCTATTTGTGCAAGGAGCCGGTGGGTGGCGAAGCGATGGACCTGTGAGGATCTCCTGTCAGGTTTCCCGGAGTCAGTCCATTCATGCTAAGCTCCTCAATCAGGGATTCTCAACCCTGGCAAACTTTAAGATGGGTGGACTTCAATTCCCAGAATTCCCCAGCTTAGCCATACTGGCTGTGGGATTCAGGGAGTTGAAGTCCACCCATGTTAAAACATGATGTCTGGGGAATTCTGGGAGTTGATGTTCGCTCATCTTAAAACAAGCTGGCTGGAGAATTCTGGGAGTTGAAGTCCACCCATTTTGAAGCATGTTAGTTGGGGGATTCTGGGAGTTGAAGTCCGCCCATCTTAAAGCACATGACTCTGGGAATTGAAGTCCACCCATTTTAAAGTACACTGTCTGGAGAATTCTGGGAGTTGATGTTCACTCATCTTAAAACAAGCTGGTTGGGGAATTCTGGGAGTCGAAGTCCAGCCATCTTAAAAATACTGCCTGGAGAATTCTGAGACTTAAAGTCCACCCATCTTTAAGCCACCAAGGCTGAGAACCATTTCCCTAAACTACCCTCTAATACACAGCCTGAGTTCACACAACACACGAAGCCTTTTAACAACCAAAGTTTTCTGTTGAACTTGAATCCCTGTGCCGCTCATCCCACTGCATTGTCCTTAAAAGAGTAATTTTGCACCACTGTTCTCCTTTTTGTGAAAACCGTCTCTACGCGCAGGCGTATAAAATTAAATAGCAATACCGAGACCCATTTTCTTAAAAAATGAAAAGGTACATTTATTGAAAACAGTTAATACTTTATACAGTTTCTTCTCACAGAATTGTGTGTCCCTCCCTCCCTCCCTCCCTCCCTCCCGGTGAAGTTTAGCCAAGGGGCACGGCTGGTGCCCCCATGATCGACAGACCGGGGTGGCAAAATGGTTCAAGGTTCACCAACAATCTCAGTCCAAAAAATATAAGCCATTTGGATCCTGCACAGGTGTCAACTTGCAAAGCTTTCAACTTGCCATGAGCAGGAGTGCCCTAAGACTGGTGAGGTCTACTCCCGAGTAAGTGTTGGCAACTTTGCAGACTTAATCACAGCCACACCATGAGGATCATGGTAGTGACAACAAGGAACCCACCTTGCAGCAGACTGGTGCATTTGTATGTGTGTATTTGTGTATTTGTGTGTGTGTGTGTTTGTATAGGTGTGTTTCACAGCCCACTTCTGTAGCAAGAGAGGTGGAAATATTTCTATTTACAACAAGGGGACCTTTGCCAATAGGGGTGGGTGGGTGGGATGGACTTTTCCCCCCTTTCCATTTTGATCCCTGGAGGTTTTACAAAAATTATGTTCCATCTCTGGGTTTTTCTTTAGGTTGGCTTGCACGCCAGATGTTTTGCACTGCGATATTGCAACCCAACACATCTGGATGCCTCCAAGCTGGGTCAGTTCTTGTGTGCTCAAGACTTCGATAACACAACAGCAAAATTGTTTGTTTTTGTGTCTTTGCAATCTCTGCAGTCTAACGAAGAGAAGGACTAGGGGTAACATGACAGCAGTCTTCCTATATTTGAAGGATGCCACAAAGAAGAGGGGGTCAGCCTATTCTCCAAAGCACCTGAAGGCAGGAGAAGAAACAATGGGCAAGAAACTAATCAAGGAGATAACCTGGAACTAAGGAGAAACTTCCTAACAGTGAGGACAATCAACCAGTGGAAAGGCTTCCCACCAGAAATCCTGGGTGCTCCATCACTTGAGGTTTCAAGAAGGGATTGGACAACTATTCATCTGGAATTGTATAGAGTTTCCTGTTTGAGTAGGGGGTTGGACTAGAAGACCTCCAAGGTCCCTTCCAACTCTGTTATTCTATATTCAATTCTGGACAAGAAGAAGTGGGTGGAAGCTCATGAGATCCAACCTAAGGAGAAATTTCCTGACGGTGAGAACAATTAACCAGTGGAACAGAAGTTGCCTTTAAAAGTTGTGAATGCTCCAACACTGGAAGTTGTTAAGATGAGATTAGATCACTATTTGTCTGAAATGGCATAGGGCAGGGGTCCCCAAACTTGGCAGCTTTCAGAGTTGTGGATTTTAACTCCAAGAATTCTCCAGCCAGCTATGCTGGCTGGAGAATTCTGGGAGTTGAAGTCCACAACTCTGAAAGCTGCCAAGTTTGAAGACCTCTGGCATAGGGTCTCCTGCTTGAGCAGGGGGTTGGACTAGAAGACCTCCAAAGTCCCTTCAACTCTATTCTGTATTAAAGTACCTCCGAGTTCCCTTCCAATCCTGTTATTCTGTATTCTGTGTGTCTTTATGAAGTATCTTGATTTCTTTCCAGCTGCAGGGAAGAAAGAATTAATAGATCGGAAGAGCGAGCCCGGGGAAAATCCCCACAGGCAGAGAATTGGGGGCTAAAGCACCTGGTTTAATTAGGGGGTGTAGGAAACCAGGGGTGTCCCTGGCCATGCTTCCTCTCAAGGGCCGACCCTTTCCCTCCCCAGCTATTCCCACCTTTTATCAAAATATTCGGCTTTTGGATGGCCCTGGAGGCATCTGGTGTTCAACTGCAGCCGACAATCGTAGCTCAATGTTCGTGAACCGATCGTGTGACTTTGGAACATGAAACGGGGGTGGTGGGTGTGCATGGGCGAGCCCCAACACATCTGTGCATGCCCACGGCTTCCTGGGGTGGTGTTTTCCGAGCACTCCTAATCCAAGGGGCCCTTTGCACTGATTCTCTCTCTCTCTCTTTTTTTTTTGCTCCTTAACTCAGTTGCTGGGGAAAAGAAAAGGAGGTGAGGGGGGCAGAACCCAAGCGTGGGGGTGGGTACTAAAAACGGCAGTGGGGAATCCCTGAAATTTGTGCAAAGTTTGGCATGGAAGCCTGACCAGGGACGCCATGCAGGCTGTTGGATTGAGCATGGAGGAGGGGTCCTTAATTCTTCTTTTAACGATGCAGAACCCCACCAACGCTGATGCTGGTCTGGGTAGCCCTGGGTAGCTCTATTCCTCACAGTTCTGTCCGTTTGGAAGTCTATGGGGAGGGAGGGAACCTCCAGCACATTCGTGCGCAGAATACAGGTAGTCCTCGACTTACGACAGTTCATTTAGTGACCGTCCCGCGTTATGACAGCACTTAAAAAAAAGCGACTTAGGGCCATTTTTTGCACTTAAGACCGTTGCAGCATCCCCATGTTCATGGGATCAAAATTCAGACGCTTGGCAACTGACTCGTATTTACGATGGTGGCAGTGCCCACGAGATTCCCCTTTTGTGACTTTCTGACAAGCAAAGTCCACGGGGAAGCCACGTTCACTTCACAGCCGTGTGATGAACTTAAGAGATGCGGCGATTCGCTTAACAGCGGTGGCAAGAAAGGTCGCAAAATGGGGCAAAACTCACTGAACCACTGACTCAGTTAGCAAGAGACGTTTTGGCCTCAATAGTGGTCGTAAATCAAGGACTACTTGTAAGTTCTTCAAGCAGACCTTTCTCTGGGGGATTGGCCCCTCCCTCTGCTTTGAGACCCACCTCTCTTCTGGCCCTTCGAAAGAACTCTATTGCAAGGTTTCAAAGAGAGAGAAGAAGACTGTCCATCCTTAAGAGAGTGAAGAAGGGCCCGAAAAGGGAATGGCTGCCTTGTTGGTCCTCTCACCAAGAAAAGATGGTATTCCCTACGTCTGCATGTTTGATTTCTGGGTGAATCCTTTCCTCAATTTTCCTATCGGGGATGAGAGCAGGACCCGGCCAGGAACAGAAATGGGTGCAGGGATACAAAGAGGCACAGTTCACTTATGGGGGGGTGGGTGAAGGTGGTGTGCCAAAGCAGGCTTGCTCTGCTGAGCGCAGGACAGGAGTAAAGCAGTGTCCCTTGGGGTCGTCCGATGCCAGCATCTCATGTCATCCTTCCCCGTCGTATTATACGTAATCCTTCCCTGTGGAGGGGACAACCTTGGGGTACGGCCGAGTTGGGGGGTAGGAGGTCTCTTGTCGGGGGCACCAGCAGCAGAGGAAGGCGCCGCCCAAGATGCTCAGAGCGGAGGCTGCCCAGCCGATGAAAAGCGCCTGGCCAAATTCAAACCTGAGGAGGAAAAAGATGGTCAGTCGAAGTCCAAGAATGAGGTGGAACAATCCATCAAGAGTTCAGTTCTTTATTGGTGACACTCAACATAACAAAATAACAGAGTTGGAAGGGACCTTGGAAGTCTTCTATGAGAGAGATCTTGGAGTCCTAGTGGACAATCACTTAAATACGAGCCAGCACTGTTTGGCTGCTGCCAAAAAGGCCAATGCAATCCTAGGCTGCATAAACAGAAGATTAGAATCAAGATCACGTGAAATGTTAATACTGCTTTATAAGGCATTAGTAAGGACACACTTGGAATCCTGCATCCAGTTTTGTTCACCACGATGTAAAAAAGATGTGGAGACTCTAGAAAGAGTGCAGAGAAGAGCAACCAAGAGGATTTAGGGATTGGAGGCTAAAACATATGAAGAACGGTTGCAGAAACAGGGTATGTCTACCTTAATGAAGAGAAGGACCAGGGGAGACATGATAGCAGTCTTCCAATATCTCAGGGGCTGCCCCAAAGAAGAGGGAGTCAAGCTATTCTCCAAAGCACCTGAGGGTAGAACAAGAAGCCGTCAGCCAAACAATGTCGACTGGCGGCCCCCAGGGGGAGGCCCTTCTCTGTGGGGGCACCCACTATCTGGAACGAGCTCCCCCCGGAGATACGGAAGATCCTGGATCTGCGCACTTTCCGCCGCGTTCTTAAGACCCTCCTATTCCAGCAAGCCGGCCTGGCCTAATTTTCTCCCCTTTCTGTTAAATTCTTTTAAATCGAAATTTTAATCTGTTTTAAATTATTGGGATTTTTAATTGTCTCGGGCTAAATTATTTAATCTGGTTTTAATTATGTTTCTAACTTTTGTATCTATGTATTTTATTTTGTGCCTGTTCACCACCCTGAGTCCTTCGGGAGTAGGGCGGTATATAAATTTAATAAAAACAAAACGAAACAAAAACAAGAAGCAACGGGTGGAAACTTAACCAAGGAGAGAAGCAACCTGGAACTAAGGAGAAATTCCCTGACAATGAGAACAATTAATCGGTGGAACTCCTTGCCTCCAGAAGTTGTAGGTGCTTCATCATTGGAGGTTTTTAAGAAGAGATTCATTTGTCTGAAACAGTTTAGGGTTTCCTGCTTGAGCACAGGGTTTGACTAGATGACCTTCAAGGTCCCTTCCAACTCTGTTATTCTGTACTCTCTTATTCTGTTAATCCAACCCTTGCTCAAGCATGAAACCCTATGAAGTCCATCCATCTTAAAGTTGCCAGGATTGAGAAACAGTAGTAATGTAAATGAAGCGGGCTCTGATAGATGACCACTGGATAACTTTCTATTCACTCTATTCTAAAAAGCAATGCATCCGGTTGGAAAAAGTACAAACTCGGCCAAAATCCTTTTGGTTCCTCTAGGAGGCCTCTAAGTTGTCAGAAGAAAGGAACATTCTAATGACATACAGCTTAAGGGTTGGTTAGGTCAAGGGGATCCACATGAGTTAAAAGTTGTCTGTCGTCAGAAGATGATTTGAGTCTATGCTTCAGTAATCTACAAAAAGAATTATGACTGTTTTGCAAAGAAACTCAGTAATTAGGAAATGTCAATTAAAAATGACAAATGTATATGACCATATGAATTGCTGAGTTAACAGAATCCTTTGTCTAGAAGGGTATAAAACCATTGTACCTAATTTCTGTCTTTGTTCAAGGCTTCATGTACAGAGCTTTGAACCTATTGCGCAATATACAAATTTGTCTCTGATTAATCCAAAAGTTGTGTTTGTCTTATTAAATCCACAACAGTAGCTTAGATCTTTCACCCAGTAATTGTCTCTGCAAGGGGGTCATTATAAACATCCCCGCTTGTGATTCTGTAGAATCTGCTGTTTCCTCATCCATGTCCGTTGGCTGGTTCCCAAATGCCACAGGACCCACAGGTTTCAGCAAGCGCATCTTGCCTGCCTTCCTTGAAGTTGCGAGGATTAAAGCGGGAGGCCTGGTGAGATTCTGAAGAGAGGGTGGAATTGCACAAACTCTCCTGTTGGCACCGGCCTTTCCCAGGGCGCGCATAAGGCCTGGTGAGCTGTAAAAGGGCGGCAGAGAGCACAGAGCCTCACAATAGAGCAGATTGCTCATAGGCCTCCTTGGAAATTAATTTTAGACTTTCTCTAGCCAACGGCAGCAGCACAGATGGGAGCAGGTGGCCTGGGCAGTGGGACAAGGAGAAATCACTGTCTTTTTTGGAAGCCAGAACGGGTTGCTTAAAAACAGATTTGTTTTGTTTTGTTTTGTTTTTATTAAATTTATATGCTGCCCTACTCCCGAAGGACTCAGGGCGGTGAACAGGCATAGAATAAAATACATAAATACAAAAGTTAGAAACATAATTAAAACCAGATTAAATAATTTAATCAAACAATCAATCAAATTAAAAATCCCAATAATTTAAAACAGATTAAAATTTCGATTTAAAAGAATTTAAAAGAAAGGGGAGAAAATTAGGCCAGGCCGGCTTGCTGGAATAGGAGGGTCTTAAGAGCATGGCGGAAAGTGCGCAAATCTGGGATCCTCTGAATCTCCGGGGGGAGCTCGTTCCAGATAGTGGGTGCCCCCACAGAGAAGGCCCTCCCCCTGGGGGCCGCCACTCGACATTGTTTGGCCGACGGCACCCGGAGGAGCCCCTCTCTGTGGGAGCGTACCGGCCGGTGGGAGGCTGCTTGTGGTAGTAGGTGGTCCTGTAAATAACCAGGTCCTAAGCCATGGAGCGCTCTAAAGGTGGTGACCAAAACCTTGAAGCGCACCCGGAAAACCACCGGGAGCCAGTGCAGCTCGCGCAGGAGAGGTGTGACATGGGAGCTCCATGTTGCTCCCATCACCACCCGCGCGGCCGCACTCTGCGCCAGTTGGAGCCTCCGGGTGCTCCTCAAGGGGAGCCCCATGTAGAGAGCGTTACAGTAGTCCAGGCGGGAGGTGACGAGGGCATGAGTGACTGTGTGTAAGGAGTCCCGATCCAGAAAGGGACGCAACTGGTGAATCAGGCAAACCTGATGAAAAATCCTCCCGGTCACGGCCGTCAAGTGCTCTTCTAAAGACAGCCATGAATCCAGGAGGACGCCCAAGTTGCGCGCCCTCTCCGTGGGGGCCAGATCATGCCAAACCAATCTTATTTCATTCTTTGACAAAGTGACTAAATTAGTAGACCAGTGAAATGCTGTGAACTTAATATACTTAGAGTTCAGTAAGGCATTCAACAAAATAGACTACAAACTACCATATTTTTTGGAGTATAAAACGCACTTTAGTTTTTGGGGAGGAAAATAAGAAAAAAGCTGATTGGCAGGTGGATCAGCCTTCTGGAATACCCCCAATCAGCTGTTCCCAGAGGTGAATTTTAGCAACAGGTTCCTTGGTTGTGAGTTCTGTGCCTTGCTTTTTTTTCTGCCTCTGAAACTTCTGAAACTCAGTTTCAGAAAAAACCGTTTTTTACCTGCCTCTGAAAGCCTCCGAAACAGAGCTTCAGAAAAAAAAAGCCTCTGAAGCTCTATTTGGGAGCTTCTTTTCTGAAGCTTCGTTTCTGATGCTTTTTTCAGCCTCTGAAACCTCCGTTTGAGAAGCTGGGCAGGACTACATTCAGAGTATAAGACGCACCCAGATTTTAACCCTCTTTTTTGGGGGGGGAAAGATGCGTCTTATACTCCAAAAAATACAGTACTTCTCAGTAAGCTAGAAAAACGTGGGATAGACAGCATCACCACCAGATGGATTTGTAACTGGCTGACAAACCATACTCAACAAGTAGTCCTTAATGGTATCACATCCACATGGAGGGAAGGAAGCAGTGGGGCACCCCAAGACTCCGTCTTAGGACCAGGACTCTTCAACATCTTCATAAATGACTTAGATGAGGGAATAGAAGGAGAACTCATCAAATTTGCAGATGACACCAAACTGGCAGGAACAGCCAACAGCCCAGAAGTCAAGCTCAGGATCCAAAAAGATCTCGACAGACTTGAACAATGAACCCTATCCAACAACATGAAATTTAATGTGGAGAAAAGCAAAGTTTTACACTTAGGTAGGAAAAACCAAAGCGACAAGTGAAACCTGTCTGACTGTGAAAGGGATCTTGGAATCGTAGTGGATGATCAATTAAATATGAGTCAGCCATGTACAGTGGCAGCCAAAAAAGCTAATGCAATCCTTGGTTGTATAAACAGAGGCATAAAATCAAAATCACGTGAAGTATTAGTACCTTAGGAAGACCACACCTGGAATACTGACTGCATCCAGTTTTAGTCATCGTGATATGAAAAAGACGTTGAGACTAGCAAAAGGATGATCTAATGAAGTCTAATGAAGAGAAGGACTAGGGATGATACAATAGCAATGTTCTATTATTTGAGGGGCTGCCCCAAAGAAGAGGGGGTCAATCTATTCTCCAAAGCACCAGAGGGCAGGACAAGAAGCAATGGGTGGAAACTAATCAAGGAGAGAAGCAACCTGGATTTAAGAAGAAATTTCCTGCCAATCAATCAGTGGAACAACTTGCCTCCAGAAGTTATGGGTGCTCCATCACTGGAGGCCTTTAAGAAGAGATGGACAGAATGGTGTAGGGTCACCTGCTTGAGCAGGGAGCTGGACTAGAAGACCTCCAAGGTCCCTTCCAACTCTGTTATTCCATCAGCAGAATCCAAATATCAGTGGAGATCTTTCTACCCCACCCCATCAGTTGAGAGTTTCATTGAGATCTGACTTACCTGGTGTTGACGGGTGTGTAGGGGTTGAAAAAGTCCTGTGCGATAAGGTGGCCATACCAGGAGGTAGCCACTAAGGCGGCAAAGCCTATAGGAAGGAAGGAGAGAAGGAAGAGGTATTGTGAAGTCAACAACTTCCAAGAAGGAAAGACTGCTTGTAGTCAGCCAGCGAGAGTAGCTGCTTGTGACACCAACTGACACTGCTTCCTCAAGTTGGTCCCTTCCAGATGTGTTGGATGTGATATGAGAACTGAAGTTCCATACATCTAGAATAACAGAATTATAGTTTGGGACACATAGGGGAGGGGTCTCCAACCTTCATGCCAAGGTTGGAGATCCTTGACATATAGTATGTCTCAGGATTGGCAACTTGAAGATGGGTGGACTTCAATTCCCACAATTCCCCATCTTCAAGTTGACAACCCTTGAGAAGCACTCATCTCATCCAACCTTCTGCAATGTGCAATGAAACCAACGAAGCCGTCATGAGAAGGGGCTGTTCAGCCTCATCTTCAAAGCCTCCAGAGATGGAGATATCACAACTCTGTAGACCCTATTCCATTGTTTACAGAACTGGAGGATCCTTCTTTGAGGAAGGTTGGCCAACATCTTGCATTGCAAAATAGGACTTCCCCTATTTGTGTCTTGGTCAGACCATTCATTGATCAGATTTACACCCAGTTGTCTTCTCTCTTGGATTTCAGATCAGATGGTTGGGATTCCCAAGTCATCTCCAAGTCAGCCACTGACCACCCATCGGCCTTAACTTCAGCAAGGCTGACCTCAGACTAGGCCCCTCCTCTCCACCCAGATCCTACAGATGGTTGATTTTCCATTTGTATGACTCTTTCCCAGGAATCCAACCTACCGGCCCATCTCTGGTGGCTTCCATACTGAAGTCTTTTTGCAAGACCACAAAACAACACAAGGACCAAGGCGAACCCTGGTCTATAGCCATGGATTTAAAGAAGACAGATGTTCTTCACCTGAAATGAGGAAGATGACACCTCCGAGAATGGCCATCCTGGACTTCTTCACCTCATCGTCTTCCATACACTTCATGCATTTCATACCAATCATGGCGACGAAACATCCAATGAGACCCAAAAGGATGCTGGACACCATCAGGGCCCGGGTTGCTTGCAAACTGCCTGGAAAAGAGAGAAAGGACTTGGTTTTACATCCACATGGACTGAAGGACCCACAGCAGGATCTGGTGGGAAGCTATTCCTAATATCCCATAAACCCTTCCATTCCCTACTATCCGGTCAGAGCTGAAGAAGCTTCTTGGATGAGAAGCGAAACATCTTCAAAGAATAACAAGAAAGTCCAGTTGCCTCTTGAAAAAAAAGCACCTTCGGGACAACCAGGACCTGGATGACAGAGAATCTCTACAGACTTTCAGGCTGAAAGAAACTTATTTTATCATGTTCTGCTAGGGCACCTTTAGATAGGCCCATACCTGCCTTTTTTGTTTTTTACTATTAAATTGAATCCCTTTCCTTAAAGGACTCTTGGGCTGATGCCTTATCTAGGATGGGATAATCTACAGATTTGTTTTAATGCATCGTGGTAACCGTATTAGGCCACCAAAGGGTTTATTTCTTCATGTCATTCCTCAGTGTTTATTATTGTTTATTGTTTCGATTTTATATGCCACCCTTCTCCGGAGACTCAGGGCGGCTTACAATGCGTTAAGCAATAGCCTTCATACTTTTGTATATACCTGCTTAGTAGGGCTTTCGCCCCCCCCCTTAAGTGGTGTTCTTTTTTATACAAAGTCAGCTTATTGCCCCCACAATCCGGCTCCTCATTTTACCTACCTCGGAAGGATGGAAGGCTGAGTCAACCTTGAGCCTGGTGAGATTTGAACTCGCAGTAATTGCAGGCAGCTGGTGCTACTTAACAGCACTTTAGTCTGCTGTGCCACCAAGGCTCTTTTCTCTGAGCTTGGTTGTTTTCTTGTAAACATTTCATTACCAAATTAGGTAATATCATCATGCTGATAGGGAGTGGGGTTATAATATATATAAACAGAGAGCAAACTCCACCTCCTTCTAGCACTGGTGATGTTACCTAAGTTGGTAATGAAACATCTGCAAGGAAACAGCCATGGTCAGAAAACACCAAGGACCCCACAGTCATTCTCCTCCTCTTCCACCACCACCTCCTCCTCCTCCTCCTCTCTGCAAACCCTTCTACCACTGATGATGCTACCTACTTGGGTCATGAAATGTCTGCAAGAAAACCACCAAGCTCAGAGAACACCAAGGACCCCACAGGCCTCCTCCTCCTCCTCCACCTCCTCCTCCTCCTCCTCCTCTTCTCTTCTTCCTCTTCCTCTTCTTTCCTCCTCCTCTTCTTCTTCTCCTCTTCTTCCTCTTCTTCTTCTTCTTCCTCCTCCTCCTTCTCCTCCTCCTTCCCTCCTCCTCTTTCTCTTCTTCCTCTTCCTCTTCTTCCTCCTCCTCCTTTCTTCTTCTTCTTCTTCTTCTTCTTCTTCTTCTTCTTCTTCTTCTTCTTCTTCTTCTTCTTTTTCTTCTTCTTCCTCCTTCCTCCTCCTCCTCCTCCTCCTCCTCCTCCTCCTCCTCCTCCTCCTCTCCCTATGAGTCCTGATGATGTTATCTAGCTGGGTGATGATTAAACACGTACAAGAAAGCAGCCAAGCTCAGGGAGCACCAAGGACCTCACATATTCTGCCTTCTTCAGGATTATCCCTTGTGAGATTAAATAACCTCACATGAGTGTGGAGGCTCTGTCTCCTCTTGTTCAACCGGAAGGGGCTACAAAAGTTGAGTCCCCAAGGTGACACTTCATGTGCTCAGGGAGACAGGCAACCGTTGGGCCCTCAGCTCTGGGCAGGAGACACCAGCCAATCAACCACTGGAAGGTATTTAGGAGTCCCTGATGGTTGCTGAGATGCCAAACTCAGGGGTTACTTTGGCAAAACCTGCTAAGCTGAAAAAGCTTATTAGAGAGAATGTTTTCCATCATTATAACTCTGCTGCACGTGAAGCAAGCATGGAAACAGAATAACAGAGTTGGAAGAGAACTGGGAGGTCATCTAGTCCAACCTATCCTATACCATTTCAGACAGTCTCTTCTTCCAGTGATGGAGCGCCCACAACTTCTGGAGAGGAGCCGTTCCACTGGTTGATTCTCATTGTTAGGGAATATCTCCTTAGTTCTAAATTGCTTCTCTCGATGAGTTTCCACCCGTTGCTTCTTGTTCTACCCTCAGGGGCTTTGGAGAATAGCTTGACCCCCTCTTCTTTGGGGCAGCCCCTCAAATATTGGAAGACTTCTATCCTGTCTCCCCTGGTCCTTCTCTTCACTAGACTAGACATATTCAGTTCCTGCAAACGTTCTTCTTATGTTTCAGCCTCCAGTTCCCTAATCATCTTTGTTGCCCTTCTCTGCATTCTTTCTAGAGTCTCAGCATCTTTTTTACATCGTGGCGACCAAAACTGGATGCCGGACTCCAGGTGTGGCCTTACTAAGGCCTTATAAAGTGGTATTAACCCATCACATGATGTTAATTCTCTCCCTCTGTTGATGCAGCCTACGACTGCATTGGCTTTTTGGGCAGCTGCCCAAAAAGCCAAAGTTGCTTCTTGAATGCGAAAGAGCCACCAAACTGGCAATCTTGAAACTGGTTAGAGAAGACCCAGGAGGTTTTGTGCTTGGCATTTGTGGTGCAGGGATACCATCCTGATAATTTTGAAGGAAGTTATATAAAGACTTAATGTTCATTGCCCCCTGTGATTGCTTCCACAGCCAGCAACGGGCCCAGATCTTCAGAATCAACCACAATGCGTTGCAAATTTCCATACAGGTAATCCTCAATTTGCAACAGTTCATTTAGTGACCATTCAAAGTTACATGCACTGGAAAAAATGACTTATGACCGTTTTTCACACTTAACCATTGCAGCGTCCCCTTGGTGACAGGATCAAAATTCAGACGCTTGGCAACTGGCATGTACTTATGACAGTTGCAGCGTCCCGGGGTTACGTGATCCGACAAGCAAAGTCAAAGGGGAAGCCAGATTCACTTAACAACCATGTAACTAACTTTAACAATGGCAGTGAATTGCTTAACAACTATGGCAACGAAGATTGCAACATGGAGCAAAACTCACGTAAGAACGGTTTCACTTAGCAACAGGAATTTTGGACTCAGTGTAAATCAAGGACTGCCTGTATCTAGGCAAGCCAATGGTTAACCCTCTCTTGTTTTCACCTGAACTAAACCAGGTTTGGGGGAGCTTCAGATCAGTGCAAATTCTCAACCAGCTCTTTCTGCACTTTCACTGATCTTCCCAGAAGGCATTCAAACAAGAAACACAATTAAAGACGTTGATGAGAGGCACCTGAAGACTGTCAAAAGGAAAGCAAAGGGTCTCTGCGCCCACCCCTTCACTGCTTTCCACTTTTTCGTTGTTGATGTTGTGTTGTTTGGCTTTATTTTACATGCACGCTTCATCCGCCGGTTTTCCTAGTGGAAAACAGCAAGAAATGACTTTTTCTGGCATGGTTTTGCAACTTCTCTGGTGGTCTCGCTTTCAAGTCTTAATCCAGCCCAACCCTGGAAGATCAGGGAGGTGCTGTTCACACCCCAAATTTCTTCTCTGGAGGAAAAAAAAGGAGAATTTCTAGTCTACACCTACTTTCAGCCTCTCACGTAGGTCTAATCCATGGGGAAATGGGGAACAATGGATCCTTCATGACTTGTGGACTTCAGCTCCCAGAATTCCCGAGCCAGAACTATGGGGAACTATGCATGGCTGGCTCAGGAATTCTGGGAGTTGAAGTCCACAAGTCATCAAAGAACCACAGTTCTATTAGAGTTTGCAGCAATCCAACCAGCACACAAGTAAATAATTCAGCAGGATTCATGTATAAAAAGAAACTTCTTTATATACAGTAATATAAAGCATGATGCATGTATACAATACCCATGCAGTAGAAGCCAGAACCAGAACTCAGAATCCAGAAGCACAGAATCTATATAAGCACAGAGGCTATATAATACAGAGGCTATATTGCAAGGACAAAGCAACTCTTACATACAAATTAGTCAAGCTAAGCCACGTCAAGCCGCCAAGCCGTCTGGGTCACCAAACAGTCCCCATTGGCTGACGTGTTACCATGTCTATTCCAATTCATGAACTCTCATACACTGACATGTTCCCCATGCCAACTCAGGAATTCTAGGATTTGAAGTCCACAAGTCATCAAAGGGCCATTGTTCCCAACTCCTAGAGACTCTGGAAAGACTGCAGAGAAGAGCAACAAAGAGGATTAACAGAATAACAAAGCTAGAAGGAACCTTGGAGGACTTCTGACGAACAGTTGCAGGAATTGGGTATGTCTAGTCTAATGAAGAGAAGGACTATGGGTGACATGATAGCAGTCTTCCAATATTTCAAGGGTTGTCACAAAGAAGAGGGAGTCCACCTGTTCTCCAGAGCACCCGAAGGCAGGAGAAGAAGCAACAGATGGAAGCTAATCAAGGAGAAAACCAATCTAGAACTAAGGAGAAAATTCCTGACCGAGAGGACAATTAACCAGTGGAACTGCTTGCCTTCAGAAGCTGTGGGTGCTCCATCACTGGAGGCTTTTAAGAAAAGATTGGAATGAAATGGCATTTCATTCTCCTGCTTGAGCAGGGGGTTAGATTAGAAGACCTCCAAAGTCCCTCCCAACTCTTGTTATTCTTCCTAAGTAATGGAAATCCGTGTCCCCACTGAACTGTCCTGATTTTGAATAAACCAGTGCAAGGTTCAGCAATGGGAAGGCCACCAGCCTAGAGGAACTGTGTTGAAAGAGGCGAGCAGCAGCTTAAAAGAAGGAAAGTAGAACAAGTTATGGATTCCTGGACACCCCACACCCTCCCTCCACAGGGAGCAAGGCTTCTTAGCTCATGTGGAGTTGAGTTTGCCAGGGGGCTTCAGAAGCTGCCTTAGATCGCAGCATCAGATTCCTCCTGTCAACAGCTTCCTTGTTGTTCAGGGTGTGGGCTTTCAATTAAATTCAGAGTCAGGATCAGAGAAGTGCAGAGAGCCCTTCATGTTCCCAGTGGGATGTGGTGTTTGTCCAAACTCCATCCGTATCTGAAGTTCTCAGAGGAAAAACAAACATTATCACCCCCA